GGGGTTATTAGAGGTGGAGCGCGGGGAGGGCGCGCGGCTGGCGGCTGCCGTTACGGCGCGAGCGTGGTCACGTGGTCGTTGGTCACCGCCGTCGCCACCCTTCCCGCCCTGTTCTCTTTCTGGTCGGGCCGGCGGGTTCCACGAGCGCCCGGCAGAGACTGAGGGAGAGAGAGAAAGAGGAGGGGAGGAGGAGGAATCAGGGAGTAGGAGCTGGGGAGCCCTTCTGCGCCACAGGTAAAACAAAATAATGATGATGATGATGATGATGATCATTAAAAAGCTGAGTCTTCTGATCACCTCCGCCTTCCTCCAGTGCAGCCCCCACATGCAGTGGCTCCCGCCCCGGCCTCCCCCCTCAGCCTCAGGACGAGTCCCACCTCTGCTCCCGTCGCTGCTGCAGCTGCCGCCGCCTCACGGGAAGGCCTGAGGGTGCGGGTGCTGGTGCTACTGCCGCGGACGGGTAGTCGCACCGCCCCCGGTTGTGCGCTTCCCGGATCGGCTTGGGGGTTGGGTGGCGAGAGGGGAGGCTCCCCCAGCTCCGGGGCGGGCAGGGCGAGGAGGCTGCATACCCCAGCCTGCCTGCTTTCCCTCACTTGGCAGGTTGAGGTCCAAGCTGCAAGGCTAGCTGCAGCAAGAGGGCAGAGTCTCGTGGCTGGACTAGGGCTCAACTTCCGACTTGGTAAATTTCCCTGTTAATTTCAGCTTTAGGCAGCCAGCTTCCTTCGCAGGCCGGAAGCGAAATCGGCCCGGAATCCCAAATCTTTTAAAATGCATCGTTTAGAAGCGGTAGAAGCTTTTTCACCTTTGAGAAAAGGAACGTGACCTTGTGTTAGTTCGACTTAAGTTTATTCATCTGTAAGAACATGCAAGTGGATACCTTTCAGAATATGAGAAAAACTTTGCTGAGGGTGAAAGTTGATTCCTACCCCCTCCCTTTTCTGGAAAAGTGAACACAAAACTCTAGAACAATTTTTCGGTTCTGCAAGAGACGGGTTTTTTCGATACTAGCTATTACACAGTTTTAGTTCAGGAATATATGACATGCTTAAAGTTTACATTCTTTAGATTTTTTTCTGAACAATGACTTTCTGGAAAGTTTCATTTGTCAACTTTGGACCAAATCCCGAAATTTTAGCATGCAGGTTGCACACCTTTCGGACGGATTGCGCTGAAATTTCCAGACCCAGCCATTTTGTACTCTATGTACAACAAAATATAGTCCCAATAAAACTATATATTACTAGTGTGATGTTGCACAAAATAGTGACTCAAAGCAGGAAGCATTAAATGTAGGAATTGTTGAAAATAAACCTTTGAAGCTTTTGATATCAGTGGTAAAAAAATTCAATTATATGTTGGATATTTCTCTTAATGAACTTTTCTGATTCTACATCTTGATAATTTTTATACCATATCTCTAAATTGAAATGTAAAATTGAGCATTTTTAATTTTTACAACTATCTACAGTAGAGTCATCTAGAGCAGTGCTTCTTAAACTTTAATGTGCATAGGAATCCCTTGAGGCTCTTGTTTAAAAATGGAAATCCTGATTCAGTAGATCTGTAATGCAGCTTGATATTCTGCATTTCTTATGTGCTTCTAGGTACTTTTGGACATGGGACCATCCTTGAGTAGCAAGGATATAGATGACTTGTATGCAAAGAAATAAAATGATGTATTAATGAACAAATGCCTTGAGAGAAGGGGCAAATCGCGGAATGAACTGAGAAGCATTATGTAGAGTGAGCAGGCCGAGTCTGAGAAAGAGAAAGAGATTGCAGAACTGGGGAGCTCTCTTAACCAGAAAGAGTGCAGGTACCAGGTGTGCATGCTATGTGGTGCCTATGTCAACTGGCCTGCGAATTTTCCGTGAAGCTTGCTGTGCTTCTAGCTGAAGTATTTGTTCAGCTATGCATAGCTGGGTTTTATCAACATATAGGCTATGAATCATATTTTCTATGCACTGCTGGGTGAAAGTTTCTTTAATTGGGGCAAGTATTGAGTGTGTGCTCTTTATCTCACTCACTCAAATACAGCCTCAGTTGAGTTGTGCATTCCTGAGCCTTGGAAGCAAACTTGTAAACAATTAAGGCTCTACCTGTTGAGAGCATCCTAACTGGATTCACATTTATTCTAATGTAATTTTAAAGAAGTATATTGAAAAATTTTAAAATGTCACATAACCTTATACTTTATGTACATTAAAATGGTTATACTTTAAAAAAATCTTTATGAAAGTATAACATCAACCATTTTTACTTCTTTTTATAGTCATTAGCCATTACTTTACCATTGTTTCTTCATGTTATTAAATAATACATATGAGTACTTCTGAAGTAGTTACTAAGTGCCAGACACTGTTCCAAGCACTTTTCCACTTTTAACTTATTTAATCACAACAACCTTTAAGGCAGCTGAAACAGAGAGAAGGTAAAAGTCACATGCTCAGGTTTACACAGCTAACACTGAGCTGGGATTCTGGCTGACTGACTCTAGAGTCCATGCTTTTATCAGTCTTCTTTGTGCTGCCATTTTAGAAGATAATGATGCTCTTAAATCCCCTTTCTTAGTATTGTTGAGAATTATGAGCTTTACTTTTATTTTAAGATTCACATTTGTCATCCTTTTATTCCTCTGATTTTATCTCACTTTAAGAACTGCCTCAATGCTCGCAATCTTTTCTGAATAAGTTACTGAAATTTGCAAAGCTTCATTTTGTTTGCACTTGTTTGCTGAACCAGTGTCTTTCTATATCACAGTTAAATATAAAAATAATGTCTGCTTCCTTTTGACCTTGCAAGTTTTCAGTTCTTTATTTTCTGCCTATGCCTGTCTTCTACCTCCTCATGCATACTTGGTAGATTTATTCTGTATTTGTTACCCTAACATTTAGGATTTTGGGGGAGATTGACTGGGTTACTGTCTTTATTTGGCCAGTAAGGACAATAAAAAAACTAAGCATTGTTCATCATTATCATATTTTAACACTGAAAAAGTAAGGACTACCTCAGAATAAAAGATAATATTTAAGTTGAATAATTTGTTTTATAAAAATATTAATATATCATCTGTCCCCCACCCCCTTTTTGTCTCAGACCTCTGAAAGCTTTCTCCCGTATTAGCATCAGTCCGAGAAATGGTGTTTGTACACCTAGTCTAAGGAAGTTTATTAGAATGGTGGTAATATATAGTGTGTGTACTAGAACTTGAGAAAATGAGAGGTTGTGGCTGGGGTTGGTTGTGAGAGGAGAAAAAGGTGGGGGAAGGAAAATATTGGGACTAGGGGAGGACCTGTGAAGTTGATTCTAGCAGCATTAATTCTCTATTAACTGGGATAGTAGTGAGTTTGGGAAGGAAGTCAGTATAACAACAAATCCCTGATATAAATGTTTTCTCATAGTTCATTCTTTATTATAATGTCTATTATAATGCCATGCTGGCCAGGTAACTTCACCTCACAGTGCCTTTCTTCCATTTTTAAAATGGGGATCATAGTAACTACCTTACAATCTTGTTGTGAGTATTAAATGAGAATGTGTATATACATATGTATATACATACATTTACACACATGTATAACATATATCGACATATACAGGTACATATCCACACATACGTATATGTATAATATGTATTTTTTATATATATATATATAAATAAAATGATTAGGTAGTGTCTGGCACATAGTTAATGCTATCCTGTAAGTGTTGGATATTCTACTATGGATAATCTGCAGTGTGGTTGGTCATATCTACATAATCTGATTAAGACTGATTGATTATATTTGAATGAACTTAGTGGAAATTGTACATTCATTTGGTATAAGGCTGTATGGGCTAAGAAAATTTTTTGCATGAAAATACAAAATTAGGCTCTCATCTCTTTGGAGAATTAAATATCAATATGGTTTGGCAGTTCACATCTTTCAAAGCAAGGAAATAACCTATAGAAATAATAAAAGATGTCTTTGGCGGTGGTGTGAAAGGATCAGTTTAAATTTTTTTCCGGCGTAGTGTTGTGAAACCTAGAATAAGATAACCTTTTTTTCTGAAGGCTTCTCTGACTATATAACTTATACCTTCCTCAGTTGACACCTTTGCTCCTTGAATAATCCATCTTTTTTTTTTTTTTTGCATTCTCTAGACCTGGTCTACAGCCCCTTGTCTGAAACCCATGGTGGCATATGCATCTCAGAAGTAAAAAGTTTTTGGAATTTAGAAAATTGTATGATGGATATGCTGTATATCATGAAGCCTCCTGTGGATAGGTACAGTCACCCTGTGATCATACACATTAATTTTTCCACCAAAATTATTCATATTCACACTAAAATGAATAAAAGGCTATAAAAACCCTCATATCAGTTAGGCCATGTTTTGTTGACAACTTAGAAAATTTTTAGTTTTTAGAGTTTTTTGGATTTTTTGGGATTGACAGTAAGAAATAGGGGTCTGTGTGTGTGTGTGTGTGTGTGTGTGTGTGTGTGTAAATAATAGTTATATTCATCATAGTGCTTATGTGTGTGTGTGTGTGTGTGTGTGTATGTATGTGTAAATAATAGTTATATTCATCATAGTGCTTGTCTTTTTGACTAGACAGAACTGGAGTATAGGATTTCTATATTAGCATTTTGTGTCTTTAGCACCTAGTATAGGGCCTGGCATGCAGTAGGTGCTCATTAATGTTTGGATGAAAAACATCTAAAGATAATATCTTTTAGTCATTGTTCTGTGCTGCATGTGGTATTTAGTAAAATATTTAGTAATTGAAAATATTTAGTAATTCCAGATTTATTTTCTTAATTCAGTTGCCTAGAAAAGGTGGTTATTGGATTACTTTTTTGAAACAAAATAGATTTAAGAGATTTGAAATATGCATTATAGACAATTGCAAATTTTCGTAATTTGTTTTATAGGCCATGGAGTCTACATTTAGAAGAAGAATTTTAAAAATTCATTGGACTTAGTTTTATATGATAATTTATGACAGACTAGTTGTGATATATCTGTCTAAAGAAAATGCTGCTGTGGGTGCATATCTTAGGTTGAATAATTATAGTATGGTAGTTTAGCCTGCCACAAGAATAATTTTTTCTTCTGTTAAAGTAATGCCTATTGTGAAAATTTTGTAAAAATAAATAATCAAAATAATTACCCATATTGTTGCAGATTTCTTAAAGTTTCCTTCAGGGTTATCTTGCCTTGAGAGGCTGAACAAAAAGATTTGTATTGTAAGTACTAGTTTTGAAAGCTGAAATGTTGGTTAGAAAATGTTTTATCTCTTAATGTTACTAAACATTTTGTCCTTAAATAAGATTAAAAGGTTGAACCAAAGTAATTGGGTCTCCACTTTCAAATAGGGGATCTTCAGAATAATTAGATCAGTGAGAAGTTAGCCCCCACTTCTGGTATAACTGCCTTGGGGGAGATGTGCCTTCTTTCTGATGGAGTTGGGGTGATAACAGTGTAAGAATACTGAGCCCAAGTTACAGCCCCTGGCTGCAGAGGCATTCATTCTGTTTGCGAATAATTACTGAGGATTGGAATTAACCCCTTTCATTTCCCAGAACGGGTACCTTTGGAGTTGTCTCAGTAGCTACTTTGCAGGAATCCAAGAAGAGTTACTAACATTACATCTCTCGCTATCCTGGGATGAATTAGTGGATTGATTGTTCTGGATCTTTGGTGGGGCTTGGTGGGGTGGGGATGGGGAGGAGATGGAGTTGATAGGAGATGGGCAAGTGGTACCATTATTTCCATCTTTGTCTACTTCATTCATTAAACTAGGCTTCTTCTAGGCTTCTTGTGGAAAGAGTACTCATTTTGATAGGTAGATGTGTATGGTACAGGGAGGCTTAGGGTAAATCGCCTCCCTTCTCCAACCTTCATTTCTTTTAACTAATTTAGGGGTATTTAACTAATTTTAATTTCTTTATCCTGTGTTGTGTGTGTGTATTGTAGATATACACAGATAAATATGTGTAGGTGTAGATATACCCTTTTTTTAAAGCTAAAAGTGGATTCATGCTATTTCGATGCTTGTTTTTGTTTTTCATTTGACATTTTTATATTACTGTGTTGTTATTCTTCCATATAATTTTTAATGTGTCCATGCTATCTCATTGCATGAATGTGCTATAAGTAGTCCTCCATTCTTAGACACTTAGATTACTTTCAATCATTATGACAAGTAGTAGTACACTGAACATTATTGTAGCCGATATCCCTTTATGCCTGTGCATTATTATTTAAGAAAAATTGTTGTGAGTAGAATTATTAGGTCAAGATATGTGATTGTAATTGATACACATGGCCGGATTGCTGACCAGAATGGTCGTACTACTTTATCCTTTACTACAAAGCTGTTTGAGAGGCCTGTATTTGCCATTAATGGGTAGTCCATCTTTTCTTTATTTTTACAGTTTTATTAGGGTATAATTGACTTTATACCTCCTCTTCTCCTGCCTTCTTACAGATTCTTATGTAGTTAAATTTTGTTCTTCCTTTATATATCTTGTAGGTTTTTCTCTTATTTTTATATAGCTATTAATTTACATTTTTTCAACCATTTTCATAGTTTCAATGTTAAATTTTGGGTTTACAGTTATTCTAGAACATGTTTAGTTGTATAATGTGAAGTAGAGGATTCAAAAAAATTTTAAGCTTTTCTTTAGCCAGTTTTCTTAATATTACCTAATTAATGATCTATTCTTTCTCTGTGGGTAGTAGAAGCTTTATCATTTGGTCTTCTATTCAGTCCCACTGTATTTTATTTTTTGTTGTTGTGAATGTGAACGGAATCTCTCTCGCTCGCTTGCTCGCTCTCGCTCTGTGTTTGCACGTGTGTGTATTTTTTTACTTGACCCTCGTCGGTAAATAGAAGAGATAACTGATTTTTTTGTGTATTTATTTTGTAACTAGTCACTTTCCGAATCTATTTATTAAACAATTTTTGAGTTGATTCTTTTAACATTTTCCAGGTAGATAAGCATACCATCTGAAGCCAGCCATTTTTAGATTTTTTTTTTCATTTTCACTTATGGAAGCTGTGCGGGAATGATTTTCTTAATTTCATTTACTTGAAATATGGTGTATCGATATGGTATCACTGTGAATTGATGTACTCAGCTCTCAGAAAGATTTAAAAATATCTGGAAAACCATTCCACCAAATGACTTCTGTTATGGTTTGAATATGTCCCCCCATAATTCATAAGTTGAAATGCTGCCACCCTCCCCATATGATGGTATTATGAAATGAGACTTTTGGTAGGTAACTAGGATTAGATGAGCTCATGTATGAGATTACTGCTCTTCTAAGAGTCATGAGAGAGCTTGCTTTTTCTCTGGCATGTGAGGATATAATGAGAAGTTGGCAGTCTTCAACCTGGAAGAGGGCCTTCAACCAGGACTTGACCATGCTGGCACCCTGATCTCAGGCTAAAGCCCCTAGAACTGTGAAAAATAAATTTCTGTTGTTTATAAGTCACTCAGTCTATGGAATTTTGTTATAGCAACTGGAACTAAGACAATCTCTAAGGATTGTCTTAGCTCAGAAGTTTTGTGATTTTACCTTATGTCAAAAGACTCCTAGTAATATACAGAGCGAGGTACTTTAAGTCGAAGTGCCTGCAGCTTCCTTTGTAACTTCAGTTGTCTAGCTCTATCGCCCAAGCAATTATTCTGAGATTTTGCATTTTTTTCTTCTTAGATCTTGAAGATTTTTTCTATGTGGTTTGGCAGAAATTAAAAGAGAAGACTGATAGACTGTAGAGATCAGACTGTGCAATCTTGTGTTTTGCTTGTTTGTGATATCAAATATCATGATGTTCTTTTTCTGGCATGTCGTGTTATTTTCTTTTTCTTATGGCGAGTTTTCTTTTCAAGCTATGGTCCTGCTATGGTCAACTTAAAGGTCATCAAGCCAAATTATGTTGAGTATAATGGAAGCCATTGGGAAGTGATAAATAAATCAGAGGGCAGTAAAGGTAGGACAGAATAGCAGAGATAGGGGTTGGGAAGTGCCTGGTATGTCAGGTCTTCTTTTTCTGTTCCCCTTTCTACCTTCTGATTATTTTTCAGGACTTCTTTGACTCTGCCCTTTTAATGATTTTTTTTGGCTTCATATTTATTCTCCAGGTATTCCACATTTTCTTTGTTTCAGAGAATAGCTCTCCTCCCTGCTTCTACTTTGATCAAGAGTATCAATGCTTTCCCCTAGTCTTGGAAGGGGCCCTGATCAGTCTTCTAATTTCCTTTTTTCTTGTCACTAAAACTACCTGCAGAATACCCTGGCCAATGCCCATCATGCATCCTACCTTGCAAAGCCTGCGGCAAAACATTGATTAAACTTGGGATTCCTCATAACATAAAACTGCTTTGGAAGTGTTAATAAAATGAGAGAGTGCTTTATAAAGACAAATTGTCAGAGAATTGTAGAGTAGTAACTGAGTGGTTGAGGACTACAGAGGGGAGAGTGAGAGATTAGTGTTACAAAGACAGAAAAAGCTTCTGCAGAGTCTGTTATCTTGGTTCTCCAACCCTGATTTCTTCCTAAGCTTTAGACCTGTGTATTTGATTACCTACTAGATAACTCCACTTTTGGAGGGCTGGCAGAAAACTCAAATTCACTATGTCTGCAACTGAATTTACCGTCTTCTCTTACAAAAGCTATTTCCCCTCCCAAATTTATTATCTCAGAGGATGGCACCACCATCTCTCCAGTGGTTCAAGCTAGAAACCCAGCTAGACACGTTTTATTCCCATTTTCTAAATTTTCACTTAAAGTCGGCAAGCTCTGTGGATTGTACCTCTTGAATCCATTGTTTCTTTAGCCTCACTACTTCTACTCTAGTATATTATATCTTGATCTACCAGATTTACCATCTCTTGCCTATGTTTCTGTAAGGTGTCCCAGTTTTCTGACTGGTGTCCCTGTAGGCAGAGGATCTTTTTATGCTCTCACCTGATTCTCTTACTCATAGCTTAGAACCCCCTTCACTTCTCCGTCACCTATTTCCAGCCTTGCATCTGCTGCTTCTGACTCCCCTACACTCTGTTTTCATTATAAAAGTATTGAAATCTTTTGAGTTTTTGAAGCTGTGATTTTGCTTGTCTCAAGCCTGAAATGTTCTATTTCTTGATCTACTAGCTCTTGTGAGGTCTCAGCTTAAAAGCTTCCTTACACCACTAAGCCTGTGTTGTGTCCTTCCTATCTGGCCACATACCCCGTACTACTCCATAACATTTATTATGAATTATAATTGCCT